GATCAGGAAGGTTTCTTCCAGCCTGGTTCATTCTGGGATTCTGTGATTGTGATTTTGTGACTCTGATTCTGTGACTCAGGGATTCTGGGATTCTTTCATTTTGTGACTCTGTTATTCTATGATTTTGTGACTCTTTGATTCCATGATTCAGTGATTCTGTCATCCTGTGATCTCCCAGTGCTCCTTCACCCCTGGATGAACCTGGCTGAGTCACAGACCCATATCCCGGGGCAGGAAGGCGGAGGGGAAGGAGGAGGAGGAGGAGGTTGGGACACTCCAGCTGCAGCTCTGCCCTGAGGATCCCCGGCTGGAGCTGACAGAACCCAAAGCTGCCTTTCCCCATCATTCCTGCACATGGAGGGACAATCCCCGAGCTCCTGATGGGACAATCCCTGAGCTCCTGACGGGACAATCCCTGAGCTCCTGGAGGGACAATCCCTAAGCTCCTGATGGGACAATCCCTGAGCTCCTGGAGGGACAATCCCTGAGCTCCTGATGGGACAATTCCTGAGCTCCTGGAGGGACAATTCCTGAGCTCCTGGAGGGACAATCCCTGAGCTCCTGGAGGGACAATTCCTGAGCTATTGGAGAGGACAATCCCTGAGCTCCTGGAGGGACAATCCCTGAGCTCCTGACGGGACAATCCCTGAGCTCCTGACAGGACAAACCCTGAGCTCCCGATGGGACAATCCCTGAGCTCCTGATGGGACAATCCCTGAGCTCCTGATGGGACAATCCCTGAGCTCCTGGAGGGGACAATCCCTAAGCTCCTGATGGGACAATCCCTAAGCTCCTGACGGGACAATCCCTGAGCTCCTGACGGGACAATCCCTGAGCTCCTGATGGGACAATCCCTGAGCTCCTGACGGGACAATCCCTGAGCTCCTGACGGGACAATCCCTGAGCTCCTGACAGGACAAACCCTGAGCTCCCGATGGGACAATCCCTGAGCTCCCGATGGGACAATCCCTGAGCTCCTGATGGGACAATCCCTGAGCTCCTGGAGGGACAATCCCTGAGCTCCTGATGGGACAATCCCTGAGCTCCTGGAGGGACAATCCCTGAGCTCCTGACGGGACAATCCCTGAGCTCCTGGAGGTACAATCCCTGAACACCTAGAGGGACAATCCCAGAGCTCCCAAGGGGACAATCCCTGAGCTCCTGACGGGACAATCCCTGAGCTCCTGGAGGTACAATCCCTGAGCTCCTGGAGGGACAATCCCTGAACACCCAGAGGGACAATCCCTGAGCTCCTGGACAGGAGGGAGGTCCCTGTCAGGCACTGGGAAGCTCCAGTTCCTCCCT